AACAGACTCTCTACCTTAGAGAGGTAGTGGTAAAGACGGCCTACACTCTACCTTTTCAAGCCCCCACTATGGGTGATTAGGCTTAGGGGTATTCAAAATTGAATCGAAATCGATAACTCAAATCGAAAATAAGCTATTGGTTTATTAGTAATTTGATTTTTTTAATTATTGGGTTTATCAATTCTTAACGGTTTGAGGTTTTTCCTTAACGGGTTAACCGATAACCCAATAGTAAATTAATAAATTATAGGGCAAAAAACTTAAGTATACAACTTAATAACTTTAATTACACGAATATAGCAATAGTTTTTTTTTTTCAATTGAATAGCAATATTTTTTTTTTCAAAATTGGAATTCTTATTAAAAGAAAATAAAAAAACGTTTTCAGCTACAATTATCCATATCCCTTAAATTTCTCCAATTATTTTATTTTTCCTGATTTACTCCAATTTGTTATATATCATATCCCATAAAGAAAGGTTTCCTACAAAAATAAAACTTCTCTTCCATACTAAGATCGATGATCAAATATGCAGACCAATAATTTTTCAATTTTAATTCATCACAGCGGGCGTTGGAACTCATCAGGTATTCTTTTTTGTGGTAATTCCTTTGATTTTGTCGAATTTGGTGGAATATACATTCATAAGATTTTGGTTAATGTTATGGTGCAACTGTAAAAGGTTTAATTATTAAACAGATATTAAGATTTAGCAATTGTTTGTGGAATATTATTAGGATTTTCACATAATCTGTGTTTTAATTCTTTTTGGTATTTATTTGTTGTTTTATATTAACGTTTTTGGTGTAATACAACAACATCATATGATTTTGGTTGTAATATGATGAGTCGAATAAGTTTTTTATAAAAAAAAATTAGGTTAATTGGTATGTTGCATGCCGAATATTAATAGATTTTATCAATAATTTCTTTTGGTATGTGATATGGTGTACACATACCAACTTAAAGTTAAATTTCAGGTACATATTTTTGTTTATTTAGTTGTATTATTTGGTATATAAAATATAACTTTCAAAAAAAAAATTGATTAGTTTTTTGGTGTATTTTATTTATCCGAATTGGTGTAGATAATAATTTGAAAATTGGTCATATGTGATCAGGTACTTAATCTGGTATATTTATTTCTATAAATTGGTGGTAAATTAATATTCTAATCAATGTGTTGGTGTATTTTTGGGTTAAATGTCAAATTACTTTTGATACGTCAATTGGTGTAATTTGTATGATTTAACTGATTGTGTGAATTATCACAAATTGGTTTAGGTATGTGATGTGGTAAACGACACCAAAATAATACTCTAATGTATGAGTTGGTGTATTTATTGGTCTAATATATAATACCATAATTTCAAAATAGATTGTTGTTGTTATTCAACAATTCAGAGTTTTTTTTTTGTTTCTGGGGTATTTTTCCTTTGGTTTGTTTTGTATGGTTTGTAAGTTAGGAGTAGAAACCAGTTTTATTGATTATGGTTTTTGGTAAGTTAATTGGTAAAAAATATCGTTAAGTTATTTGGTGAAAATGATAGTTTTTAATTTGTGAACATAATGATCTGCCAGTTTGGTGTAATTAAGATATTATTGGTGTCATTCAGAGTGGTGTTTTTTGGTACATAATGATGGTTTGCAAATTAATTCTATGTTGGTTGAATATTTTAGATTGATAAGGTATTTGGTGTAATGTATCGCTTTTACTTGGTGTGATTCTGATTTTTTTGGTGTCATTCATAGTGGTGTTTTTTTAGTACATAATGATGGTGTACATATGCAGTTGCAACTATTAGATACAGAAACAAACATCGCGAAGATTATTGTTCCTCCTATTATAGTAATACGAATTTTCAAGATACTTATGCAATTCGAATAGAACCATTGCCTTGTGAAAGCACTTGGAATATTCCATTGCATATTTTGGAAGAGGTAATGCTACCACCAATTGCAAGAAAACAACTAGGTAGACCACCAAGTAACGATCGAAAGAAGGGATTCAACGCAGGAAAATACAAGAGGAGTAAAGTCACTTGTAGTAAATGTGGTACATCAGGGCATAACAAAAAGACTTGCCTCAAATTTGCTTATCAGAATTAACATTGTTGTATTATTTTCAATTATTATTGTTGATATTTTCTTCCAACAGTTCAGAATTTTTTAAAACTGACAAATGCACTTCTATCCAACTTTGGTTACTCTTGAATTGACATTTCTTTGGTATTCTCTTGTTTGGCATACATGTTTGGTATTCTCGTGTTTGTCATACAATGTTGCATTCTGGGTGACTTAGATAATTGACAACATGTTAAAAAAAAAATGATATAACTTATGAGTGAATACTAGTGTAACATACAAATAAATCTAGCACAATTGGTGTACTTATGGTGAAAAAAGAACATTGAATACAATTAAAGCTAGTTAAAGTGAGTGGTTGATTAATAATAGACATCATTAACGTAATAATTTGATATGATAGTTGAATAATGCTAAAAAATATTTAAAATATTGGTTGGTTATACTATATAATACCCAGAACGTACACAATTGGTATAGTTGTTTAAACACAGATAATGAAAAAAATGGGTAAATATATGGGCTGATATTCTGGTAATATATACCAAAATATTGAAAATGTTAAAAATAATGATTGGTTGTACTATATAATACCCAGAACATACACAATTGGTATAGTTGTTTAAACATACACAATTGGTATAGTTGTTTAAATACAAATAATGATAAAAATGGGTAAATATACTGACTGATAATTTGGTAACATATACCAACCTAAAATATTGAATCTGAAAACCACTACTTAAAGTAAAAGATTTTGGTTTGAATGAAATGTTGGTATTATATACCAACAGCATACATCGAATCTTTTAACAACTACTTAAGATATAATATGTAATAATGCTGGTATATAGTGTCTGACATGTTGGTATTACATACCAATCTCACACATTGTTATACAATCTATACCAATCACACACAAATTCTGTTGAAATATTCTATTATAAATCAAACTCGGAGTCCTATTCATGGCGAAACTATGGTGAATCGGATGGTATAGCTATGAACTGTAGTGAAAATTGTTCAACAAAGAATGTGAAAAGAAGAAGATGGAAGGGTTAAAAAATTTTAACAGAAGAATATGGAAGGGGTTAGACGTTTGGCAGAAAAGAAAAATGGTAAAACTTTCCTAGGAACTATAACTCTCCTATTGAAAACAACACCAATTTTATTGGAAAATAAAAAGTTATCAAAAAGGAAAAAAATAAATATGATCCTTATAATAATCAATGAAACATGTAAATATGGAACTGTAATAGGAGATATAATATTGGAAAAATTTAATATCCCTAATTAATCTCCACGTTAAATGCACGTAATTCAAAAGGCATGAGAGAGGAAAATCTGAAAAAATAAATAAACTTAAATACAAAAATTAATTATTTTGTTATGTCTGTAATTTAAAAACTATGTTTATAATTAAATAGAAGTACATTGATATTTTGTTAATTAAAGTCTTAAGTAATATAATGTTGTAATTTTCACTAAATTATATCTATACTATTCAATATATAAAGTCTTTGACGTAGGATTTAATTTATTCTACAGTGTGTCACTGTTTGCTTTTGAGTAAGATGCAATCTATCAAGTCATGTGCATCGATCATTTGGTTTGTCACCTTGTTTCTAAGTGATCTTTAATGATATTTATGTGTCAAATCTTAAATGTTAAACTAATAATCAAAGCGATAACGATCAATAACCAATCGATAATTATTGAGTCAAATCAATAAATTTCTAATCAAATTGAATCAACCGATGTACAATCCTAATTTCTCTAGATATGGTATTGCTCTTGTGTTCCGCCAAACACATTTCTATAAATTAAGACACATAAAGTATTACTTATCATAACTTTTAGTTGTTCGTTTTAGTCGAGAACCAAAGCAGTTTTAAAGGAAACAAATGAACAAATTTTTTAATTGAAAACTTAATGTTGATAATTAAATTTTATTGTATTTTGTTATGGCTTCTACATCTTTGTTATTTATTTTTCTAAACTATTTTATTGTGTTTTTTCTTGAACCAAGGGTCTGTCGAAAATAAAACTATTAAAATATGACAAGATCGGTATACACACTATCCTCTATAATACCAATTTGTGAAATTACACAAGGTATAATATTGACAATTAAACTTTAATAATACTTATTATTGAAATTATGTAAAAATTATCATTTTAAATAGTCAAAATAATCTCATAATCTTCGATATTAAAGTTTGCTCAAGTTTTTACAATTAGAAGCATTTGTCTTGAGCTTTAAATGGAGGACGTAACTGCCCCCTCAGAATAACTTTTTTTTAAAATAGGGCTCATTTTTTTATTTTTTTTGGAGCAATTGTTAGTAGCAAAGATATTTTTACGCTACTTAGCTAATTAAGGGGGGCGGGGATTTTTGAACAAATAGTATATGTTAAAATATTTGTTTTAATTTACGATAGTTTAGGGATATATTTGTCCTTTTTCCCTATTATTTAATACTAAAGGTAAAAAAGAAAAAATATAATAAAATTTTCTTGATTTTAATATGAAATGGATAATAAATTAATTAATTGGTAACATTTACAGGGGAACAAGCTTTAAACTCTTTTTAACTCAAATAAATATACCAAAAACAGAACTAAAATTGTCAATCCTTTCCTTTTTAACACAGAATCCGACTATGAAATGGATAATAAACTAATTAATTGGTAACATTTACACGTGAACAAGCTTTAAACTCTTTTAACTCAAATAAATATACCAAAAACAGAACTAAAATTGTGAATCCTTTCCTTTTTTGACACAGACTCCGACTTTGATCCAAAATGGGAGAAATTATACAAATCTATAAAAAGGACCATTACCCAGCCTTTCTTCTTTCATTCCAAAATATTACTACTGTTCTCATTCCTTTATTTCTCTTAGTTACGCTATGGAAAATAGTCATCAATTTTCCGATGATTTTCTACCATTTTCGGAAGACAGTGTTATTGATGCCGAACCAATTAGCTATTGTCTTCCTCATCAGTACTCGTCTTCTGATACCACTTTGTCTCTGTTTTCCCAAGTTTCTGAAAATATTGCTGCTTCGAAACCAATTACTACTACGGTTGATTTCTCTTCCATAGACGGCGGCAAGGACAATCCTAATTCACCTTTTTTGACTCTCTTTACACGAGTTTATGTAAACACTACTCCCCCTCCTCCTCCTCCGTCATCCACTGATCTCTGTCTTTCTCTACCATCCCTACCCAACACCTCTTCGACTGCCCAATCTTCCATTAGTAGTCAACATTCTTGTAGTTTTGCTTCATCAAGTCGAGAGGTAAATGCATTGGGTAACTCTGCTCCTAAAAGATCATTGGGGGAACAGAAATTCATCCCCCGCAAGAAAACCAAAGAATCAAATGGAGAGGAAGGTCACTGGATAACAAAAAAGTTAACTAGAAGCGATGTGAATGGAGCTTCAAGGCTATTACTATCTCGACAAGAAGTGAATAATTACATACTACCCTTTATGAACAAGGAAGAACAGAGCATAATTTGTCAACAATTGTGCGGAGTTGATGTTACTGTATTTGATATGGATACACAAACAAGCCATGTTTTGACCCTCAAGAAATGGTCTACTAATAGCTTTCACCTTGTCAAAGCATGGACAAAGGATTTTGTCAAAAGGAGGAATCTCAAAGAAAATGACGTAATCTCGATATGTTGGGAGAAAAGCAATTCAAGATTTTATTTTCGAGTTCAAATGAGGAATTAAGTAGAACTTTAAGATTTTTATGTTTTCATATTTTTTTTAGTTAGTTATATGAAGCTTTCGCTTAATGATCAAATTTGTAAATATGGAAACAAAGTGTTTTAGTGTTGCTTTATTTATATAATCATTCTTTGTTCTAAATTGATCTTTATATCCTGTTTTGATGGTTGTTACTTATTATTCCATAGTGTATCACATTGTACTGTATCGTTTTCTCTGGTTACATAATGTCAAACATCAACAATGTGAAAACTTAATTTATGTACAAAAGATGCAATGTATACATACTATATGCGCCATTATTGTAAGAACTCTAATGACGCTAAGGAAAACCATTTATTCAACCAAAATAAGGAAATACATTATTCAAAACATGTTGAACATCGTAGATGTAACAGTATCACCAAAAACTAAACAAAAATCTTGCACATAAAAGACTATTATCGCGAATAGAACACTAGAACAAAGTCGTGCTGCCCATGCCATCCTCCTGCCTTAATTGGCTTAACTACTGGCTGCATTGTAGGTCCTCTGCCAGAGCCAATATTCATGTTTCCCAGCTTGTCAGCTGCATCACAAACGGCAAAATTCTGCACTCTGGAACCAACCACTGCCAACCTCAAAAGACAAACTAGCATTAGGAGTACAACAATACAAGTATTCCAATAGAGGGGAGTTTGAATGACTCACTTGGATCGCTTGGAATGTTCCTTCCAGGAGGTCGATATTTTGGTTAATAAATTATATTTATACTATTCAATATATAAACTCCTTAACGTAGGATTTAATTTATTCTACAGTGTGTCACTGTTTGCTTTTGAGTAACATGCAATCTGTCAACTCATTTGCATCGGTCATTTGGTTTGTCACCTTGTTTCTAAGTGATCTTCAATTATATTTATGTGTCAAACCTTAACGGTTAAACCAATAATGAAAGCGATAGCGATCAATAACCACTAAAATAATAATCGATAAGTCAATATCCTAATGACTATAATGATTTTACATGTCTACAGATACAGATTGATAATTGTTGAGTCAAATCAATAAATTTCTAATCAAATTGAATCAACCGATGTACAATCCTAATTTCTCTAGTTATGGTATTGCTACTGTGTTCGGTCAAACACAGTCCTATAAATCAAGAAACATAAAGTATTGCTTATTATAACTTTTAGGGTGTGTTTGGTATGAAGGAAAACATTTTCCGGAAAATGTTTTACAATTTTCTCATGTTTGGTTGGGTTAAATGTTTTGGAAAATGTTTTTCAAATCAACTCATTTTTCTCAAATTTAACGAAAATGACTTCCCTTCAAAACTTAAGGAAAACATTTTCCAAAACTCTCTTCCAACTTCAAATTACAATTATTTTTTGTTGAAAAAATCAATTTATTTTGTCCCTACCCTCAAACCAGCCCCCCCCAACCACCACCACCACCCCAAAAAAAAATAAAAAATTTAAAGCTTGTTTTTAAATTCAATTTTTTTACCCCACCCCCAACCCCTCCCAAAAACATATTAAAAGTTGTTTTTAAAAGATATTTCTAATTTCAATTTTTTATGTTTTTACCCCCTACCCTCGCCCCCCTATCAGCCCCCACCCCTTTCAAAAAGAAAAAAAATTAAGTTTGTTTTTTAAAAAATATTTTCAGCTTCAAATTTTTATTTTTTCATCCCAATCCTCGACCACCCACCCCCCACCCCGGCCACTCCCCCCCACAAAAAAAAATTGAGTTTGTTTTTAAAAAATATTTTCAACTTCAAAATTTTTGAACATATAGTATATGTTAAAATATGAAATGGATAATAAATTAATTAATTTAAACTCTTTTAACTCAAATAATATACCAACTAAAATTGTGAATCCTTTCCTTTTTAACACAGAATCCGAGTTTGATCGAAAATGGGAAAACTATACAAATCTATAAAAGGATGATTTCCAAAATATTCTACTATTCTCGTTCCTTTATTTCTCCTAGTTACGCTATGGAAATTGGTGATCAATTTTCCGACGATTTTCTAATGTCTCTGCCATTTTCGGAAGACAGTGTTATTGATGCCCAACCAATTTGCTATTCTCTTCCTCATCACTACTCGTCTTCTAATACTACTTTGTCTCTCTTTCCCCAAGTTTCTGAAAATCTTGCTGCTTCCAAACCAATTACTACTACTGTTGATTTCTCTTCCATAGACGGCGGCAAGGACAATCTTAATTCATCTTTTTTGACTCTCTTTACACGAGTTTATGAAAACTCAAAGCCAATTGCAAACAATACTCCTCAGCCATCCCTACCCAACACCTCTTCGACAGCCCAATCTTCCATTGATAGTCAACATTCTTCTAGTTTTGCTTCATCAAGTCGGGAGGTAAATGCATTGGGTAACTCTGCTCCTAAAAGATCCTTGTTACAGGAATTCATCCCGCTCAAGAAACCCAAGCTGACAAAAGAATCAAACAGAGAGGAAGGTCACTGGATAACAAAGAAGCTAACTAGAAGCGATGTGAATGGAGCTTCGAGGCTATTACTATCTCGACAAGACGTGAATAATTACATATTACCCTTCATGAACAAGGAAGAACGGATCATAATTTGTCAACAATTGTGCGGAGTTGATGTTACTGTATTTGATATGGATACACAAACAAGCCATATTTTGACTCTCAAGAAATGGTCAACTAATAGCTTTCACCTTGTCAAAGCATGGACAAAGGATTTTGTCAAAAGGAGGAATCTCAAAGAAAAAGATGCCATTTCCATTCGTTGGGAGAAAAGCAATTCAAGATTTTATTTTCGAGTTCAAATGAGGGATCAAGTAGATCTTTAACATGTTTATTTTTTTCATATTTTTTTTAGTTAGTTATCTCGAGCTTTAGCTCAATGATCAATTTTGTAAGTATGGAAACAGAGCTTTTTAGTGTTGCTTCATTTGTATAATCATTCTTTGTTCTGAATTGATCTTTATATCTTGCTTTGATGGTTATTACTTATTATTTCTTTGTTCTGAATTGATCTTTATATCTTGTTTTGATGGTTATTACTTATTATTCCATAATGTATTATCTTGTTTTGATGATTATTACTTATTATTCCATAATGTATTATCTTGTTTTGATGATTATTACTTGTTATTCCATAATGTATTATCTTGTTTTGATGATTATTACTTATTATTCCATAATGTATTATCTTGTTTTGATGATTATTACTTATTATTCCATAATGTGTTATCTTGTTTTGATGATTATTACTTATTATTCCATAATGTATTATCTTGTTTTGATGATTATTACTTATTATTCCATAATGTATCGCGTTGTATTATATCGTTTTCTACCTAATGTCAAACATCAACAATGTGAAAACTTAATTTGTTTACTCACAACAGTAAACAGATGGTTTCTATTACTGGTGTGATCAAAACTAGAAATCTGCTAATCTCTCTAGTTTAATCAAGGCAACTTAATTTATGTACAAAAGATGCTATCAGTGAGAGTAGAGGAAAACCATTTATTCAAGCAAAACAAGGAAATACATTATTCAAAACATGTTGAACATCGTACATGTAACAGTATCACCAAAAACTAAACAAAAATATTGAAAGCACAAAGACTGCTGGCTTCACCAAAGTAACATCAAATTTAGCCATGCACATAAAGGCTATTATCGCGAATAGAACACTAGAACAAAGTAGGACACTCAGCTATGACATTTCTTCATCCAGCAACTTTCCTCGAAAAGCTTCTTCCCGGAAGAAACTCTTTAGACCGTCCATGGAACAAGTCGTGCTGCCCATGCCATCCTCCTGCCTTCATTGGCTTAACTATTGGCTGCATTGTAGGTCCTCTGCCAGAGCCAATATTCATGTTTCCCAGCTTGTCAGCTGCATCAGAAACGGCAAAATTCTGCAGTCTGGAACCAACCACTGCCAAGCTCAAAAGAAAAATTAGCTTTAAGGGCACAACAATACAAGTATTCCAATAGAGGGGAGTTTGAATGACTCACTTGGATCGCTTGGAATGTTCCTTCCAGGAGGTCGATATTTTGGTTGTTGGTTAACAGAGCCTTGCAGGAATTTATCATTCCTCGTTGGATCCTGAACAATTGTCTGCACAAATTAGATTCAGGTAGAATACCCCTACATCTAGCCACAACATTTGTCTCGTCTATCAGATGGGAAAAATAAGAAAAGGTTGTTTCCAAGGAAAACATACCTGATAATTCATATCCAGCTTCCTTTGTACACCTGTTACACAGTTTCAGTGGGAAACAATTGAATAAGAATCAGAATAAAGAGGTAAGTTTTTGTGTAGCTAAAAGGATGGATGGTTCTTTCACAGTTAAATCCCGGAAAGAAAAACATCGGATGGTTAGTCCAGAGAACACTAGGCCTCTGATTTAGCTGGATCACAGTAAAATCCTATAAATTCTTATAGTCACCTGCGTTAAACGGCAGCTGTGACTTGACAGTTGAGAAGTTGTTGCTAGGTTTGGGATTGTGTGACAACCCAGATGACCACTTGTACTTCTGCTCCACTGCACCCCGCACAACAGCTACGATAAAAAAGTCCTTTTAAGTTCACCATAACAACATAAAACCCAGGTTTCCTTACTAGTAATGTAGAAGACAGTACAAACCAGAAGGAGGGGTCTTAGCAACAGCAGCCTTGGTGCGTAGTGATGGAGGTACATAAAAGCAACTCTGCCACATCACAAATGATATCATCTAATTTAATAGAAAGACAGACACTGACTTATGTACATTAAGTTAAAAAATGGAAGGAGTTGTCCACCTGGAAAAAAGGATGCTGAAGAGCATCGATTGCCGTCGGCCTCTTACGAGGATCCCATGAACAAAGAGACTGCAGCAAGTAACAGAAAAAGATGAAATGACAAGCTATCAGATATTCCATTCCCTTTTAGAAGTGTATTCAGAAAGGTTGCATATATGTCAATGTTGCGAACAATTAAGAAAGTGATACGAATGTTTTTAGCCACCTCTTACCGTGATTAGACTAATAGCATTTTCACTGGCAGATGGAACTAGCAAAGCAAGATCTACACCAGCAACCTGCCAAATAAAACCAGGGAAGGTGTCAACCCACATTCAAAAGAAATCACTTTGCTAGTTAATATCATTTTTTTCCGTTAGGGGAACTAAAAGGACCTCCTTTTCAATAGTTGAAAGGCAAAGAACTGAAATCAAAAGCAAAAAAGAAGAGGATGGGGGGAGCTAATCTGAAAATCCTTTAAGAATAGCAATTCTTTTTCCATTAAAGAATTCCGGAACAACAGATAGCTTCATATCAAGGAAGAGTTATGTTACCTGCGGAAATTGGTAGTTAATAGCACTAGCAAGTTCAAGTCCCTGAGACCAGTCCCTCTTGGTTGGGGTCCCTATAACACTGCATATTTTGTAGATCTCATCTGCTTCACTGCACCCAAAGAAAAGAAGCATACAGCCGACTGTCATCAGAACGTAAATGGATTGCAAATGACATTTCAATCCACCATCCCTCCCTCTCCTCTTCTATATACATTTCTATGCAGGTCGCAGAGAAATCAATATTATAACCACAGATGCATACCTTGAACCCGGAAACAGAGGACGAAGACTAAACAACTCAGCCATTATAGCACCCATGGCCCACATATCTGCAGAGTATTGAAAGATAATCAATATACATCCAGAAAGAAATAGCTGAAACAGATAGTGTGCATCATTTACATACCGACAGCAGGACCATAGATGGGTGACTGGAGAAGAATTTCAGGAGCACGATACCTGCAGTGCCACATAATTGATATAAGGAAAAAATAAACTAACCATTTAGACGAATGAACATATAGAAGAGCAAGCATACTAACCAACGTGTTGATACATATTCCGTATACGGAGGCTGAGAATTGATCTCCCGAGCAAGACCAAAATCAGCAACTTTAATTATATCTTTCGAAACCAACAAGTTCTCTGCACAACCATCAGTATCACATGTTAAAATGGGTCAGATCACGAAGGAATGAACTATAACATGCAGATTGTCACGACTGCATGCATATTACACAACAAACACAAATAAAATGTATAAGCTCTTCTAGATTTCCTTGGTGCCTTGTAGACTGTAGTATATCTCATAAATCCTGAATGCATATTTAGCTCAGTGAACCCAACTCAAAAAGCAGTAAACAAAGAAAACTAAAATGACATATGCAAGCAAGAGCCAGAATAAATAAAGAATTTGAGCTTAAGCTGTTGGAGGGAAGGGAGCAGGAATGCTGATCTCTTCAAGACTAAGGGTTCTCACAGGAAAACAAAAGAGTATAGTACATATAGTACAATAAGATAGTTATGTTAAATCCAACTCTTCATCATCATCCACAGCATTTACAGACAAAAAACGAGGAAAGGTCAAAACACCTGGCTTAAGGTCACGATGAAAATATCCTTGTCGATGCATGTAAGCAAGACCCTGAAATACTTGGAAGCACCAATTTCTCACTTCGGATTCTGAGAAAAGCTTTGCTCTGTCCTTCATAAGCTGGTATAAGTTGCACTCCTGCAAAACCTCGTTCAAACTTAGACATTCAGTCAACTGACTGGTCGCAAATATATATTACAGAGGTAAACCATGACATACCATGTATTCAAACACGAAATACAAAATGTCGTTCTCCCTAACCACTTCCTTGAGCTTCACAATATTTGAATGGTTCATTTTTCTCAGAGACTGCAAAAGAATTCACGGTTATTGAATTCCCAGCAGAGAAAAAAACAAATATGGCCAAAGGAAGGAAATCATCTAACCTTGACCTCTCTCAAGTTTATGCATTCTTCCCATGAATAATAATTCTTCTTCATCTTTTTAATCGCAACCTGTGTTAGACAAATGAATAGTATTAGAAGACTTCGAAAATTCAGCAACATCAGTAGGTTCTAAGTTGTTCCTAACACCTACCACTTCACCAGTCTGCTTATTAAGTGCACGCCAAACATTGCCAAACGTACCATTACCAACTTCTTTAATTATCTGGTACCTGCACCATTAAGAAGGATTAGATAAGCATACAGGAGTCGGGACAATAAAAACAAAAAATGATAAGCGAAATGAGACCACAACCTTTCCATTTCAGCAGCTTCAATAGCACGTAGGACTCTTATTAAATGGAGTATAGGGACGACACACACATAAACAAAGTGGATTTCTGTCTCGGGATGACTGTAAAAGAAAAAAAAATACTAAAAGGAACTATGGCCTGGCTGATTCAGCAAATCACCCTTAATTTCCTTCTGCAAAACTGATGACGGCAGAATCAGCAATGATAGGACGGATGGGCTTCACAGCCTTATTTGTAAGATATATGGCAGAAGAAAGACCAAAACTGTAACAGGTGAGAGAAAGCAAGCAAAGGCAAGTGCTGCAGTGCATCATGATACCACTTCAAAGCTAACTGAGATTCAAATAGCTCAATTCAACATATCAAATTATACGTCCAAGTCACAGAACCTTTCTTTCTCAAAAACACATTAGCTCCTTGCCTCCAATAACACTTCTGTCTGATACCAAGTCTTCAGTCAACCGAATTGTGAAGAAGAGGTCTCTAGAAACTACCAAACCCGAAGCAAGTGTGTAAAGAGCTAACTAATTCTCAACAATGCATAGAAACATCATACATATGTCTGCTGAATTTAGCCCTGTAGTGAATAGAGACAGAGGAGATAATGTAAGACTACTAGAATATATAAGCACTATAACAAGGTAAAGTACAGCCCACAGCAGTACCTCAGAGGATGGTTTCCAAAGGGTCCTGAATGGGTGTCTTATCGGT